GCTTGCACGAGGGGTGGGATACTGCCAGGTTGGCCAAGCCTAGACAGGGGAAATCGAGAGTCAGAGGTCGGGTTCGAACCACGGACCTTCCGGTCAGTAAATTCGCGCTCTAACCACTTGGACCATCTCGCCCCAATCGCAAGCGCAAATCCGTTTATTTCCACTGTCCTATCATGTGAAACACACCAACCGTTGACCAGCTCCCCTCACCACTCTCCGTACTCAACTTTCTCCCAACTAATGAGGAGTTCATGTTTAAACGCGTCGCCCACAAAGCATCACCCGGTCGTAGTGACGTATAGTCCTAAAATTTTGTCATGTAACAGTTGCAACGACGGACAGAGGTCCCAGCTGTCAAATCCGTATAGATACCTGCCTACCCACTCCACCAGACCTGGTACGTGTCAGTAGCAGAGAGTTGTCGGAAACCCGGTCAGGGGAAATCTGGCAAGCCAACCTATCTGTTCAGTTCACTGTGCGCAGAAGCTTCTCCACGGCCGGAAAACTTTTATGCACGCAACACGCGCCATTCAGAGTCGTAAAAAGGCTAGGCGCATCCTCATGGAATCGGCGGATGCCTTAACCATTACAGTCCTAGGGCCTTTTGAAGGCGCAGCACTAAAACAGGACTCAGCTTACCTTCGACCAGCCTTTGAATGTACTTTTTGGGTGTGAAATCCTGGCTGAAGCGGGACGACTGGCTTTCCGAACAAGCTCACCGGAGATTTATCAAAATGTAGCCCTTCAACTATGCGCAGGTGTCCGGTAGCTTGACCACTGTTGACTAGGAAGTCCGATTCGGCTGTCAGCCGCTCGTATGCGAATAGTTCCCCTCTTTTATGTCGGTACAGTTCGTTTTGGGAAAAGGTGTTGGTACTATGGGTTTCGATATGTCAAATTCAATTCAAGGGTACTTCCTGTCTCCATAGGAAATTGGGTTTACCTATCACATCGATTAATAGAGGGAATAACAGTTTTCAGCAGATGATATTCAATAAGTTGGTTATTCTGACAGAACTCGGTTAATATTTGCTTCTGCTTCGTTTCATAAGAGGAACTAATTTCCTGAGCAGGCGGGCCATAACTCCAATCGCTTCTACTGATTTTAAAGGCGACATTTGGCAAACCTTGTTGCTGCGGTTGCCATATCAGAGTGTACAGGCTCCTTTGTGCGCGGCCACGTTGTAACTATCGGTTTCAGTAGTACTGCCTGAGGTGTGGTGAAGCTCGTTACACTCATCGACCGGGTGGATTTGGGTATTCTTTGGAGCAACTATGGTTTTAGAACTGCAGTAACTCTACTGATGGTCTGGCTAGCCTGGACGCTGCGATCAAGCCGACTCAAGTGAATTGAAAAAAATATCCACCGGCTGTAGAATTCGGACGAGTTGCGAGTGTTCGCACCAGTTGGCTGGCATGTGATGGTCGTACTCTACAATGAGGGAAATGCGCTCACTCATAAATTACTTTGTAAAGCGAGAATCATTCTTAGTGATTTGTGGCGTGTCTGTTTGTTGTGTTGCGCTTTTATGTTTATTACGGTGACTGCTATCCACGATCATGCACACGTACCTGTGGGACATCAGAGCACCCAGCAATTGGGACATTTTATGGGATTGTGGGTCAGATCACCGAAGTTTCTGTACCTCTGGATATGCCACCTTTTCTATACGACAGAAGAAACCATTGATGGCACATATAGTCTATGAACATATATATGAGTATCAGATGTCGCATGGTGAGGGACCGGTGGTGCAGCGTGGGCTGCAATGAATCATCAGCATCATCACACTTATCAGCTGTAAGAACCGCGAGATGGCCGAAGTGGTTAGAGCACGAATTTACTGACCGGAAGGTCCGTGGCTCGAATCCGACCTCTGCCTCTCGACTTCCCCTGTCTAGGCTTGGGCAATCTGACAGTATCCCAGCCCTCGTGCCTCCTATGGGTGGCAATGGCAGTTAGCGCCGAAAGGGTGCTACAGCTGAACGATTTTTTTTGTAAGAACTGCGTACTTGTCGTACAATGGTTGTAGCTGCCACGATTTCGTCCGTCGATGATTTGGGTAGGTGGCCGCGCATTGGAGGTGGGAGTTGATAAATTGGTGCGTAAACAGGCGCCGCTAGATCAGATTGCCCATATAAGTAGCGGTATTGTGCTTGTATTGTATCGATTACTGTTTGTACCTTGGGGCCCATTTGATTTTTCCCAAATCTCATCGAATTCGTCCCCAAATTCCCCCTACATCCTGTTCCCCTCTACTTGAATGGTCTTTTCTCGTTACGTATAATTCGCACTGAATTTAATGTCATCGGGCGGCCAAGTAAGATGGCACGAAATTGTGTGAGCTCTAATAATTCCGTTAAAGGGTCGCTGTTTCATAGCGTCTGAGCCGTTACAATGAAATTTACAAACTTATTTCATCATCTTTTTTCGCGCAGCTCCCTGTTGAAGGCACTGGTCAGAGTCTGCTGCTGTTTGCCAGCGATCGGGGGACTTTATTCCTCCTCGATCGTAGTGGAAATGTGGTTGTTCAGGTTCAGGTGAGTCGTAGTACCCCTACTCCTTACACACACACACACACACACACACGTTCTCCGCCTCCGTCGTATTTACACTTGTTCTTTTTATATCGTTCATTGGAATACTGCAACTGAAGTACCTTGCGTTCCCTGGTGTACTTGCGCTGTGAATGCTCTATTGCATCCTGGCTACTTTGTTTGGTGACGGTGGGCGTTTCCTCACTATACAACCAGTCCAGGTATTTTCCTAGGTGAGTCGTCCCCTACTCCTTACACACACACACACACACACACACGTTCTCCGCCTCCGTCGTATTTACACTTGTTCTTTTTATATCGTTCATTGGAATACTGCAACTGAAGTACCTTGCGTTCCCTGGTGTACTTGCGCTGTGAATGCTCTATTGCATCCTGGCTACTTTGTTTGGTGACGGTGGGCGTTTCCTCACTATACAACCAGTCCAGGTATTTTCCTACTATGAGCGCTGTCTTTTGAGTATGATTAGGTGATTTCAGGTGGATCTTGTCTTTAAGCGATCATCCATATGTGATATACTGTGACGGTTCTCTCTCCCGAAATGGGAAAATGAGAGAGAGAAAGGGAATCGTATTACGAGGTGGTCTGGCGGTTAAGTTTCACCTTTCGTCGCGGGAGGAGTGTGAGCCATGTTAGGCATTTCTCCTTGTAAACAGTATTTCCGTATTTGCGCCTTCCGCCAAGGAAGGACCGATGTAATAGACTAATCCTAAAAAGCTCACACTCCGACCTCCCGACGGTGACCGTACCTGCCGGTCCATTTTCCAACACGGCCGATGTGGTTGTAAACGACCCTAGTGTGCGTAGCAGAATCAACTCAAACTCCTGTGCCCTACTATCTGCGCTCTCTGGCTAGACCAGCTTCCCTGAGGCTGTGGGCCAGACTGTTGAGTCGTTGGCCCTGGAAGTGTCTCAAAAAACCCTGACAACCACTGCCTGCGGGTTCGAAGCGAGCTCCGGACAGCTCGTTGGTTAAGGCGTGAGCCTACTGACCGGAAGACCTGTGGTTCGAACCGAACCCTGGCATCTCGATTGCTCCTGTCTAGTTTTGGGCAAAATGGCGGTGTCCAAGCCTTTGATTCCTTTGATTAGCAGGGTGGCTGTGCACCGAAAAGGTATTACAGCTGAACGAGAAGGTTCGAACTTTTGAGTCGTAGGCTAGAAACAGAACCCTACATTCTCTCTATGCTTTTTAGATCCGACTTTTGAGTCAAAAGCTCGAGATAGAGTAACCCGTTCAAACCCTTTCTCAGGCTTGGGGAACCACATCCTTCAACAAATTCTTTCAGATTTATCTAGCTCCAACTCTAACTGTTGTTCTACATATGAACCCCTGCCCACTAAAATAAACCAAAATGAATTCAAGAGATCTGTTCCGCCTAGTTGCCTCCGAGCCCCGTAATCTTCGTCGAATTGGTCAATGAGTATCTCTTGTTGAGACCTTAGTTCCCTCTTCGATCGTCATGTATGGTCTCAGAAATAATCATAAAAGATTCCTGTTCGGTCATACATATCGCAAAATTCTGCTGTTTCGGAAACACAGGGTGCTCGGTTGGGTGCGTATACCGCTCAGCACAAGCTGTATGCGGCCTCACTCACTGTGTGCGGGTGCTCGTCGGCCTAGTTCGATGTGACAGACCAATCTAGGAAGGGATATCAACCTGTCACTATCACTGACCATCGATATTTCTGTTCTGAGAATGGTGTTCCGTAATTTCAAGCTGAGGTTTCTCTGAATGAGATTTTGTACTATTCTGCATACATTGTTACTACTGATCCCAACTACAAATCGTATTTCAAGGATGCCTTATTCTTTTGTCGGAGATTCACGTGGCAGGAGAGGGGTGTGTTTTTGGAATAACGACGCCGAATTCCTAAGATAATGCAGAGCCATCATATAACCGTTCTCTTTTTTCCTCCAGATACCAGCGGTGTTACTTCCTCAGTCCGCGTTGTCTGATCAGCGATCTTGGCTAGATTCTGTTCATCTTTCTAGCAAGTTACAATGGGATCTCGGTTCTGAGTCAATGGCGAATAACTCTAATGTAAGTTGATCCACACCCAATTGCTTCTCATTCTGCCCTTTTCAGTGACTCAGCCCTACGTTTTTTCAGTTGATCCATGAATCTTTAGGACTTCTGCTGCGTTTGCCAATTTGAAATCAATGCAGTAACAAAATAGCATACCACAGAGTCTCGAGATTCACATGAATCGTTCTGTTGTTTAGTTATGAGACCGCGATGTCTTCAAATCTCCGATAAGCATTGTCTCATAATCGGAACTTCATGGACTCGTGCTAATTACAAGCGAACCAATAAGAAGAACGATTTCTTGACTAAAGTATTACAATGGCTGGTGGAGGCTTGTTCACACAGTGTTGCATCGATCCACCATCAGCTGAGAATTTTATTGTTTTTTTTTTACACGACCAATTCAGAGTAGTAAGGTCGTGAAAGGCCTTGGTGAAGGGCGTGGAAACACGTGAAGGAAATTGGCTGACTATTGGAGCAGCACACCTTCGGGGACGGGGATTAGCACTGCAAGCTCTGGCATCCAATCGATGTGAACCTAACTCTCACTGATTTCTCATCAGTTGGGACGATCCCTTGGAGCTGTAGGACACTTGGATCGCTCAGTAGCATAATAATGTTTGTTATCCGTAAAACCGGACTAACCCAGTTCATCTTGGTCGCTGCTAGCTGTTGGATCTGCGCCGACAACCTCAGACACCTTGGATGTCCTGTTCTCTAAAACATCCGAGACAGCAGGCTGCTCTTGTTCACATGCCGGATTCGCCTTAAATTGATGGGTTCTGCGTACCGTCAGCAAGAATTTAAGGTCCTCTGAAAGCTTTCCTTCAAATACCCACTCTCTGTTTTTATTCTTTCTCGTAATCAATGAGATAATGAGTGAACTTTGATAAGTTTTCAAAGTCCCAGTGTTCACGCACTCGCTGACTGCAAACTTGGAAAGTGCAGACAATATCTAGGAGGGCACATTCTTTTGCATCCACTTATTTTGGGCTTTCGTTTCGCACCAACAAAGTGTCAGGTTATGCGCCTGATATACAGTCACTAAACACACCATTAGCAATCTAATAAGAGACACCGGGAGGTGCATAGTGTTTCACGTATAGGATTGGTTGTGGGATTTCTTAGTACCGTCGGTGCAGTCAGCCTTGCAGGATGCGGTCCACCTGATCTTACCTGTGTTTGGCTAGAGATGCTGCAATTGGTACCGAGGACGTTGTCGTTTTCTTCTCCTCCTTTAATCCCACGCCATCCAGGCCTTACAGCTAGCAGCGTCTACACTGAAATGCCAAAGTCTTATGCCTTGTGGAGTTCATAGCGATGAGATGGCTCAGTGGTTAGAACGTGAATTTACTGACCAAAAGGGCCGTGGTTCGAACCCAACCTCTGCCTCTTGACTTCTCCTGTCTAGGTGTGGCAGCCCCCATATTTCATTCGGGTGGCGTGGCGGCTAAGCCCCGAAACGGTGTTACAGCTGAACGACTATCCAAAGCGACGTAGCTGAATTTAACTATGTAGATCGTATTTGTGTTCCGACTTCTCTTAATGTTTTTTCAGCAAACCAAAAACAGGAGTATGGCTGATTAAAAGATCAGAACCCTGTCGTGCCGTGTACGGAAACCGAGACCGGATGTATCCCAGCGGTTGTTATTTGCGGACACAGCAATCACGCCATTGGGGATGTGCTTGAGATTTAGGAAGTCTGGCCCTTTTTCATCACATCGGCTTGATCGGTTCAGGAAGTCGGACGTGAACATGCTATTTTTAGTTTATCGAACCACAAGAAGAATGTGAAGTACACACCGGGGATGTTGTCTGAGTTTGTTTTCATATATTTTCCTGGTTTCTTATCGTTTTTCAAACACCTAAATCTTGCCGAATAAGTTACTGTTTCCGTCAAACGGCTCCAATGACCAGTGGATTTCACCCAAGTGATTTCAATATTTACCTGTTCTGGGGCCATAATCCATCAATTCCAACTTAGGGGGCGAGATGGCCCCAACGGTTAGAGTGCGAATTTACTGGCCGGAAGGTCCGTGGTCCGGACACGACCTCTGCTTCTCGACTTCCCCTGTCTAGGCTTGGGCAACCTGGCAGTATCCCAGCCCTCGTGCAACCTTCGAGTAGCATGGAAGTTAGGCACCGGAAGGGTGCTACGACTGGAAAATTCCAACTTCCTTGGTTTTACTAGTTAACGCGGTAGTTCAGCTTTCGTGAGTTTAAATTCGGGGAGCTGTCTATGGTATACGTAAATGTGAAAGAACTAACAGGTTTCCCTTGGTTTTACTCGGAATTTCTCAAAAACACTCAGGATGTTCTCTGGTCGTAGAGAACTCTTACACTTCATGTCACTATTGTTTAGGTTGTCAAAAACGTGGGGTAATGTCTTTCCTACGGTGTTGTTTACGTAACAGTAATCTGTCTGTAATTCTTCTCCGACCGCATGAAGTTTCATCGTCTTCGGCCTCGTGTCTACGCGTCTCCTGTAATCGTGAAGGCGGCGACGGACCATTTGTCTTCATCCGATATCTCGACTATTGTCCCTGTCAGCTTTGAAGACACTGATTCAGGTCACCTTTTGGTTGCGCTTGTTGAATTCAGTCAGCGAT